AAAGGGGAAGCCAGATTCACTGAATTTATTAACTTTTCTAAGAGAATTATTTATTTTTTTGATACTTGATATTTGAATTATTGAATAATTGTTGTCTGAAAAGTTGTAAAACGAAGCAAAATTCGCTTAGTCTGGCTTAGCCATGGAAATTTTGATTGTGGTCATAAGTGGAGGATTACCCACAAATTTATTTTTTCAGCCTCAGATGCAAAGGGTTGTTTGCCCCAATTTTAAAAAGGAAGAAACATACAAAGTCCAGTTTTCAAATCTCATCGGGCTTCCTGCTTGAGCAAGGGGGATGGACTAGAAGACCTCCAAGGTGCCCTCCAGCTGTTATTTTGTTATTCATTTTGGAGGTAACATCAGGTCGGAAGTGTGCTGGGGTAGACACCTCACTCTTTCTATCGATTACCAAATTATTGGAAAGACACAGTGCTGCATCTTGAAATATTTTACCCTTCTTAATGAATTCCTTTGGATCCTGCGTGGACTTGCCGTCCACGAAGTTTATTCAAGGCGTTTAACATGTCCTCGTTACGCAACGTGTAGATGACTGGGTTGAGCAGGGGCGTCACAGCTGTGAAGAAGATGGAGACAACCTTATCTGCGGCCAAACTCTTGAGGTAGATGAAGATACAGTGGCCCAAGAAGAAGGTCACAACAGTCAGGTGAGCAGCGCAAGTTGACAGAGCCTTGCGCCGCCCTTCGGAGAAGCGGTTCCTCAAGGAGACTAGGATGACCACGTAGGAGATGACCAAGACGATAAAGCAAACCACGGAAATCAGTCCTGAATTGGAGACGATGAGGACCTCGAAAACGTAGGTGTCGGCGCACGCGAGTTTGATGACCAGGGGGACATCGCAAAAGAAGTTGTCGATAGAGTTGGGGCCACAGTAGGGCACGCTGAGGGTCAAGGCCGTCAAAGCAATGGAATGGACGAGGCCTCCTAGCCACATGGCCACCGCCAAGCTGAGGCAGACCCGGCGGCTCATGATGCTTGTGTAGTGCAGAGGATGACATATGGCGGCGTAGCGATCGTAGGCCATGATGGTGAGAAGGAAGATCTCCGTGCAGGCAAAGAGGTGGAGGAAGAACATCTGCGCGATGCATTCTCCGAAGGAGATGGTTTTGGACTCGGTCAGGAAGTCCGCTAGCATTTTGGGCATGACCACCGAGGAGTGGCAGACATCGATGAAGGAGAGATTGCTGAGGAAGAAGTACATGGGGCTGTGCAGCTGGTTGTCAAAGATGATGGTGATGACGATGAGAATATTGCCAACCAGGATCAAAGTGTAAATGGCAATGAAAAGGACGAAAAGCACCAGTTCGGTGTTATGGTTGGCGGTGAGTCCAGATAAGATGAATGCTGTTACTTCTGTAGTGTTCTCTGCTGGCATGATTTTCTGTGGAGAAAGTAGGAAGGAAAGAAGAACAATATTATAATAGAAACTATATACTGTATATAAAAGGCAAATATACCACTCACTTGTCACGAAATCTTCAGAACCATAAAGTCTACAAATGTGAAATTTGGCACGCATGTACCTCTTGGCTTCTAGATACCCGCTAAGAAAGGATTTTTCAAAATGACCATCAGATCATTAGTATTTCCTATACAGTAATTAACACGCTCTGATGCCAAGGAGTTAGACATTCTACTCTCCCTCCCCACTGGAAAAGAACACTGTTCCAACTGCCAGTTGCCTNAAAAAATTTGGAACCTCTTCTGTAGGTGTGGCCTGCTTTCCGGGTCCACTGGTGGAACCTCTTCTAACCGGTTCGATAGATTTGACGAACCGGTTTTACCGAATAGGTGCGAACTGGTAGGAACCCACCTCTGGTTCTCTTGTACATGTTTGACAAAACAAATAAATAAATAAGTAAAAAATAAATAAATAAAAACCTCAAAGAGCTTTGCAGATCATTTTTAGGCCCCTCTTGAACACATGCAGAGATTCCAAGATTTACCGCATGTAGCACCAGAAATGGGTTATCAGAACGACTGCAGTTCCAACCTGAGCCAGAAGACAGAGTGAAATGCCAGCTTGAAGAGGGAACCAGGGACGCCTCCTTCCCAACCCACAAATCCCGTGAACTTGCAATCGAAACATGTCATATGAAACAACTACATCAAGATAACTGGAACTGGTCCACGGCCAGGCGGTTGGTTTATGGAAGCCCACTCATTTGGAAAGAATGAAGAGAAGTGACACCTCATCCTGCCAGAATGCTTCTATTTTCAGCTGAGAGAAATCACGAATGTTGGCTGTCTCTTCGGTGAGTGGAAACCCACCCACCGGTCTTGACGTGAAGGTCTTCTACTGGAGTGGCTTTGATTCACCTTTGGTTTGGGTTCCTGGCAGAAATTCCAGATATTCACCCCACAGTTATATCATCATCATTAAAAAGAAGTTGGATAACCCTTTGTTTGAAATGGTATAGGGTTTCCTGCCTAAGCAGAGGGTTTGGAATATTCTAGGAAGAAAGGAAATAAGGAAGAAGGAAGGAAGAAAGGAAATCAGGAAGAGGAAGGAAGGAAGGAAGGAAGGAAGGAAGGAAGGAAGGAAGGAAGGAAGGAAATATTAATTCCCATAATGGAAGAATGGATGAAAAAAAAGTTATGGAAACCAGCAAAGATGGCAAAACCATCCCAATTAAGAAAAAGGGGTGTATCCATCTTTGTTTCTGCTTTTAAACTTCATGCTCAAAACACAGTAAAAAAATCCTTGGCTATTAGATTCACTTATTGTTATAGAAATGTCCAGTAGTTACTCATTACATGAAAAAAAAAATAGGGCTGTAAATGTTACTTGGTAATTTATTGCAGAGAAAAAAGTTGAACATCACTGCTATTATTTTCCCTTCACATTTCTTTTCTCCTTCCTTTTTCTTCCCCACATCCCCATGTCTTCTCCGTGTCTTTATTTCCATTTCCATTTCATATTAAGGGAAAATTCGGCAAACTCTTTCATGTAGAAAAAAAAGGAAGGAAGGAAGAAAGAAAGGAAGGAACGAAGGAAGGAAGGAAATATTAATTCCCATAATGGAAGAATATTCCA